AAGCACTGGAGAAGAGAAAACTCCAGGGAGACCTTATAGCAACCTTCCAGTACCTTAAGGGGGCCTCCAAAAGAGCTGGAGAGGGATTTTTTTAAAAGAATATGTGGTGATAGGACAAGGGTTAATGGCCTCAAACTGGAAGAGGGCAACTTTAGATTAGATTTGAGGAAGAAATTCTTTACTTAGGGTGGTAAGGCACGGGAACAGGATGTCCCATCCCTGGAAATGTTCAAGGCAAGGTTAGATGGGCTTTGAGCAACCTGGTCTAGAGGGAGGTGTCTCTGCCTGTGCAATGAGATGATCTTTAAAGTCCCTTCCAACCCAGATCATTCTATGATTCTGCAATCAGTAACTACATGAGAGCAAGGGTACACATATGCATGTCTGCAGACATATGTGAATAGGCACACGAAGCTGTATCCCAGTTCTGAGAGTCTTATAGTTTTATTTATTTTATTTCTAATGAAATGCTAGGACTAAATAAGGAAACTGTTGTGGCAATAAGGTAAACTTAGCTCTGTCATAACTCAGACAGCACTGTTTCTGGCCATTTTGTTGGCTAAGGTGGGTGAAGAGGCAAAGGAAATGCTTACCACGGCAGCCATACGGGGTTTGAGCTGAGCATGTTTGAAGGCCAAGACACAACTGGAGAGCCGGACCACGGACAAGTACAGCATGGACATCAGGGCCTGCAAGCACTTTGCTCTTCAGGCCCAAAACAATTTTTAAAGATCCTGACCTGGTTACAGACCTGCAGACAACTATCAGGTGGGAAGGAGCAAACACAGGGACCTTCTCCATGATTTGAAATAATTATTAGCTGTGAATGTAGTTGCTAAGCCTTATTATCCCTGACCATCCCATGTTTGTCTTCTCCTCCATCTCCAAACATGACACTCTCTTGTCTTGGCTTCAGTGCATTAGGAGACTTTTCAGGGCCAGATTTTCAGTCTGAGTGTGGCTCAGGAGTTGTGGTGCCTGGGACAGTTGGGGGAGGTTGACCCCCCTGCAAAGTAGAAAAGGCTAAGCCTGCTCGTTTATGCCAAGGAATTTTGGCCACAGGTGCCAGGTAATTCCTGGTATTGCTGGCAGGCAATCCTTCTCGCCATTCATAACAGTGCTTTAATTCAGCCCACCTATGCTCAAGCAAGGCTCCTGTGCAAGAACAACCCTGTGCAGAGCTTACGTGAATCTAGCTACCAATAAAGTTTTGTTTACAGTGAAGTTAAAAAGTGACACCCCACTTTGCCTCAGAAAACATTGGAATGACCTCTCCTATGGTGAAGCACCTATATGAAAAATGGTACTTTTATGCCCAGATTTATCACAGCATTCACTATGTGCAGATAAATTAAAAGCAAGCAGCCACTGAGTGACAGAAGTGGGTTTCCTGATGTATCGTTATTGTAGCACAGTGCTTCTGCGAGGCACATGGCAAATGACTGTAAATAATTATAGAATCATAGAATCAAAGAATCATTTATGTTGGAAAAGACCTCCAAGATCATCAAGTTCAACACTGCCAAGTCCACCACTAAACCATGTCCCCAAATGCCACATCCATACCAATTCCATGGGCAGTCTATCCCAATGCTTGACTACCCTTTCAATGAAGAAATTTTTCCTAATATCCAATCCAACCTCCCTTGGCACAACTTGAAGTCATTTCCTCTTGTCCTGTCGCTTGTTACTTGGGAGAAGAGACTGACTTCCACATCACTATAACCTCCTTTCAGGTTGCGATGAGGTCTCTCCTGAGCCTCCTTTTCTCCAGGTTAAGCAATGCCAGTTCCCTCAGCTGCTCCTCATCACACTTGTGCTCCAGACCCTTCACCAGCTTCATTGCCTGGACTTACTACAGCACCTCAATGTTTTATAGTGAGGGGCCCAAAACTAAACACAAGGTTCGAGGTGTGGCCTCACCAGTGCCAAGTAGAGGGGAACAATCACTTCCTGCTGGCTACACTATTTTTGATACAGGCCAGGATGCCACTGGCCTTCTTGGCCACCTGGGCACACTGTTGGCTCATGCTGAGACAGCCATCAACCAACAGCCCCAGGACCTGTTCCACCTGGGAGCTTCCCACAAATTCCATGAATTATGGAAATCATGACTGAATTCTCCTTGTGAAATGTAAGAACCAGCGTTAGTTTCATGATGTATTAACTCAGCAGTTTTGTTTATACTCTTATAAAGGGACTAAGAGGACAGATGCTCCCCTGCAGATGTGTGTGGAGGGGAGTCAGTTTGACCCTGTGCCAAACTAGCAACAAGGGGAAGCCTGTGCATGGGCCCACAGAGGGCAAATGCACACTGCATAGTAGGAACCAGGGCTGCCAAGCCACACACACTGTTAAGCAGTATGAGAGGAGGCTGGAGAGGTTGCTATTGGGCAAGGATAAGAAGGTGAAAGGAAAAAATTCTTCATGCACCATGGACTGAGCTCTGCACCCTTAACCAGCCAGAGAGGTACTAGTTTAGACATCTTGGGAATGCAGCATTGTTAAATAATTTGTGCCATCTGCCACTGGGGATCCAGGTGCACGTTGGGTTGACCATTTATCCATGTGTTTTCTCTATCTGGGAGTGTTGTGCAGAAGAGAAGTCAGCTACCAGAATGCCCTATATGTGCACAGATCTGGGTTGCTTCCTGGGGCTTCTGCATAAGCAGAGGGAAGGGGACTAAAGGGTACTTGAAGTTCTCAAGATCCTCTTTTACTCTGGGACTGTGCAAGAACCAAGTCAGTCTCCAGCCTAGGTCAGACACAATCTTCAGCTGTGCTCTGGCAACTGAACCTGCCAAAGAGGCATATAAGAGGGCATTAGTGGCAGCCTCATTTTATACAACATTACCACTGCAGCTAATCCACGGCTGCCTGCATGAGGTCTGTGGAGTATCACACACGATGGAGAAGAGCTGTTGTACAGCAGCAGTCTAGCAGCAGACCTCTCTAGATGTGCTTCGTTTTCAGCTGCAGCTTCTGGGGCAGATGAGCTTTTACCATGTTGTGTTTTTCTCCGCCTTAGTACGACCTCAATGGTGTTGCATGGAATAATCTGAGCCACAATCTCCTTAAGCTGGGGTAAAGGGGAGGAGGGGGGTGGGTGGGCAGAGAGAAGGGCCCTTTGAGAAGATACCCCCCCACCTGTCAAGTTTTAAGCATGTAACTTCACAAGTAATCCCCTGAGGGTGTTCCTCCAGCCAGAGGCAAAGGCAGTCCTGGAGCGCAATGCAGGGGAGCAACTGTCAAGGATAACAATGCAGCCTGCCATAGGGATTCAGGCCAGGAAGGAGACAGAAGAGTTCAGCCCCCTGTCACCGCAAACTCTGCCTTCACAGAGAACTAGGGTGAGCATTTACAGCAAGTATAAACTGTTCTGTGAAGGGACCTGGCGTGGCAGAGCAGTGTCTGCACGGAGTGAAGTTTTTTTGGCGTGGGTGGGCATGTTTGTTCCAAATAATCAGGAATGTGCAGCCTTGCAGCTTCTGCGCACACCTGCTCAGCTCTTCTCTCTCCCTCTCTCTTGCTGGTGATGTGGCTGTGTCCTTGACCAACTTTCTTGCCCAGCAAGCATAACCTCCACTGTGCTTTTAACAAGCTGCCCATTGGAGCTCAGTCAGCTGCCAGGGGTGGGTGTCTCCAGGCTCTCCTCACACCTGCATGCTCCTCCCTCCCCACTCGAAACTTCAACCTTAAAAGAAATCAAATAGAAGGGGAAAAAAAAAAGGAGGTATTCACTGATGAAGGCTCTAGCAGCTGCTCGCTGTACTCATCAAAGAAGAGGAAGTGCCAAATACTTCCTTGTAGGAACTGTTTCTGTAATCAAAGTGCTCTGCGGTTGAGCTGCGAATGCTGATTCCCTCCCGCCCAATGCAGCTCCTCAGTCATGAGCCAGAACCAGAGGTAGCTGGCTGCCCACACCCTTTTCAGTTTACACTTTCACACAGCAACACTCATACCTCTGTTTTCCTTGTGACATTCACCATTTCCTGGTGGAGTGAGAACAGAGCCAGGCCAGGCTGCTGCTGTGAGCACATTCACACTCAAGCTGGCACTGCAACTCACAGCCCAGCAAGTTTCTCATGAACAAGCACATACGCTTCATGTCCCCATCCTCAGATTATCTTGCCAAACTGGGAGGGTGGGAGAGTGGCAGGAACAGGATCATGTTTTTGCTGGGAAGTGTCCCTTCTGTCCCCCGTTCCCCCCCCATTTGCTGTGGTAAGGCTCTTACAGCCAAACAGGGAAAAGTTACTTGTGGCCCATCCAGAGGATCCCAGCAAAAGCTGGAAAGAGGACCAAGGACCTCCCAGGCCCTGAAACCTCTGTGGCTCACAGCACTGTTCAGAGGGCTCAGACTTTGTGGCAACAAGGAAAACCATATGCAAACATGCCACTAGAGAAAATATGCCAAGAAAAAAAGAAAGCATTTTTGAGCTGTTATTTTTTCCAGTGCTGGCCAGTCATAACTTTGGTTTTTGTGCGTGTGCTTTTTATTTAAACACCAATACCACACTACTTGGAGAAGCTTCTCTTATCTCCTAAAACAGTGCACACTCCAAATTACAAAATCAAGCTGGAAAAATCAAACAGATCTTTGCCCTTCATGTTATGTTTTCCATCTCTCTCTCTCAAAACCTAAAGACTTGTCTTAATCAAACAGTATTGGGGGTTTTTATCCTCTACCATACCCTTTTTTCAGTTACAAAGTTATATTCTCCAAATTAATGCAGTGTTTTAAGTAATTATACCCAAAAAAGTCCTGTAACTTGTAGCAAATGAAGTGCACCAGAAAACCCCATCCAACCACCTGGCAAGCCAGACCAGGATCACAGGCAGACCGAGGTGCCGGCTCCCTGCCACTGTGTACCAGCGCAGCCTCTGTGACCTTACAGCAGCTGATGTTCTCATCCATTACTTCTGCTCTGTTCATCTCAGCGTGCTGTCCTCCCCACCAGATTTCGTTCAGAGAAACAGAAAGGACACAGGAACACAAGTTTAGCTTGCTGACATAATGCCCATATTTAATCTTTTAAAACAAGAACAAAATCAAGAATAAAATCGAGAATAAAAATTTCATTTAAGTCATACAGTACATTAATCTTTCAGCAATGACCCAATCTACAGTACTCAAATGCCTGGCATGAAGTCTATTATCTCAGCATTTAACAAGTGTATAACCAGTGACACAGTAAAAGAAGAGCTCACAATACACAGCTAACACAATAAGTTTAGATTTTCTTCTAAGAGTCCAGCTAGTGTTTGTAACACATGGGTCACTTTTGAACCATTCTTTAATCAGCTTTTTGTTCAGTCAATCTGTTTGGGGCTTTTTTTTTTCTGTTATGTGAGTTTTTCCATTATGTACAGGAAGATTATTTTCAATGAAATTGCACAAGTTAGAATATCTACTTATAGGCATACATGGTCAATCTAACTAAAAAATTTAATAAGCAGTAATTACTCAGTCCTGGTTATACATTCCTAAAGGCTTAATAATACAGTTTTAAGAAGAAAAAAAAAATAAAACAAAACACAACAAAACATAGTTGTAGGGTGGCAATCTCTGTATGAAGCCTCCTTCCCTCCCAAAACAACCAAGGGTTAACTGTACTTTCCATGTGTGAAACAGGATCTACAAAGAAGTAATTTCAGCTCCTAAATAATATAAAACATGTGACTGTGTCCTTTCTAAAGTCTGAATGGTTCAATGCATAATTCAGTGAAGCTCTCAAACAAATAATACTGGTAGGATGCAGACTGTTAACAGAAATTAGGACAACATGCCCCAGAGTAGTACATTTGGGTAGCAAAACTGTATGTATTAAGGGGCCATTATCCAGTGGTTAAAGCAGTTTGAAGCAGGACAGCTCTCCCTGCAGCAGCTGCAGAGGAAGGGAAAGGGTGGGATCTTCTGTTCCTTAGTCAAGGCTACAGCTGAATTTTGCCCACCTCTTACTCAAGCACCTGCCCTCTTCCTGCTCTCACCCCCTTACTCCTTTCTGAGGGAGAACCTCCAGCCCAAAGACAACCTGAGCACAGCAGAGTGCAAGCCACCCCTCTATCCATCCCAACTCCCGATGCTCAGGGACAGGCAGAGGTCTGCTCCTGCTCCAGCTCTACTGCAGGTATGAGGGCTCCCATCAACCCACTGTGGTGCAAACAGGAGCTTCCGCAGCCCGGTGGCTTTCTGGGTCCTGGCGTCGACCACGTACATCTCGATGCAGTAACACACGGAGAGGTCCCTCCCTCCAGAGTAGTGTTACCAAACACTACAGACCCAGAGAGCTACCTCTAAGGCAACTTAACTAAACACAAGGGTGATGCTGCATCTTCTTCCCACATTAGCAAAACAGAAACATAACTAATTAACACAACTGCTTTGACTTCTTTTAATCTCTCTTTTCTGGTGCCAGGTCTTGCTACAAATGAAAAAAAAAAAAAAAAAACAAAACACAGAGAGCCACTTTCCTAGATGGAAAAGCAGCAGAATCTTAAGCCTTGAGAATCTGCTTTGTAATTTGCTACTGGCATAAACAACAAAAAAAAGTCCCATTTGTTTGGTTGATTTTTGTGGTGTTTTTTTAAGAAAAAAAATCCAGACCATCCATTGCACCTTCTGTGCACATCACACACACTCACATGCACACGCACCAATAGAGAGCTCCAGAAGAACAAGCATGAGAACCACAAAGCCCAAATGGTGAAAAGACATGGGGAAATCTCACTTTTTTTTTTTCAATTCTCATTTAGCAATGAAGCAGCAAAATGATGTATTGCAAGAAATAAACAGTCACAGAACACACATACACCCAAACGCAACCATGGATACATTTTTCCCATTTTTTTTTCTCTGATACATGCTGTTATTCATCTGATAATTTCTTTCTGGCTGTGCTGAAGTTTTTGAAGAGCATCTAGTGCTTCTTTAACCTTTATCAGAACGCAAGAACCTCAGTGGCAATGGACAATCAATCTCATTAGTGCCGCAACCAACCATCTCCACTTGAGATTCTCTACAAGCCCCTTTTGGAAGTTGAATCCGACTCTGACTCTTTAGTGCCACTCTTGGTTGGTTTTGTTTTTTTTAAATTAACAAACACAGCATATTAATGCAAATTCGATGTTTTCTAAAAAATGCTCAGATAATTAGTTCAGCAATATGCAAAGTGCATCTATTTGGTTCTTTCCATAGATCACCTTCTGTTTTAAGTTTAAATTCCTTCACAGTTTAAAATATTGTGAAGAAATTATATGTATACTTTATGTATAGAACTATTTATATACATACACATATATACACACAACTCTGTACTTTATATAGCCATAAACACTCACTACTTAACTATTTATATTATATACACATGGCATGAACACACGCTCGGTGAAGAGTTGGTGCAGGCTGAAATCATTCCATTGCATTTAATGGAATAACAGCAGTGAAACCATGAGTGAGTTATCAAGAGACACAGACATACATCTATTAGATAAGTGAAAGACCAATTAAATCAGCTCTTCCTTTTTCCTATTAGCACAGGATTGCTCCCACCCCATTCCATGCTCCGTAAGCACATAGTTATTTTGCGTTCAGTTTATGTGAGAGGGCAGTGGTGGTTCTTTTTTTCCTAAATGAAAGAACAGTCCATATTTACGCGGGCTCGTTGCAACCTCTTCTGCAGAAGTGTGGCACAGCTGGGTCTGGATGCCTTGGAGGACTCCGAATGCTGTGCCATCGTTAGCTGAAAGCACCTGCCAAAGCTTTATTGCATGGTTATGGGACAGCTATCAACTGTTCACAGTCTGTGAACTCTCTCCAACAAGTGGTACAACTGTATAAATACATATTTTAGCACAAAACAGTTTAACACGAGGCAAGTCCAAGTACAAATTGAGACCTAAAGGCCTATGGGTGAACTTTAAAGGCCAACAGTTCTTCAGAGTGCATGTTGTTTAAGGAACGCAAGTCGGGTAATTTCAAAAGAAGTTTTGTGAAAATAGAGGCTTCGTTTGGGTGATTTTTCATAATTAAGGTCCTTAATGCACGGATTAGTGTTTCCTGAAGTGCCTCCACAGAATTGACATTTTCTATTCCGGAGCGATCTATACAGAAGGGCAGGGTGAGGAGGAGAGAGGGAGAGAGAGAAATTAAAAAACAGGAGGGTGGGGGTAAAAAACAAAGAAACAAAAAAAAGACTGAACAGATGTAGTTCGCAACATAAAGGCATTGCAAGAATCACTCATCAATTAACAAGCACAAGAAAAATTAGATATTTAAGCCAGAAGTTTCAAATCCATATACTGAAAAGTCTTTCAAACATTATTTAGCATTATCTTTGCAAGTTAAGGAAGCTCATGCCAAACTGGCAGCATTCAATCACCACTTCTGTAATCCCATATCCATATGTCCAGAAAAGGACAGATTGAAGCACACGCTTAAATATGTTGCTGAATCACAACTTTCAACATAAGGAGAGAGACAGAGCACATGAAAGTAAAAATTTCAAACATTTCTCAAAGCTGGACATAGAATCCTAAACTTAAATTGGAGGTTTGAGGAGGAAATTCCCACTCGGGACAAGCCACACTCATATCTGCACAGTGGGATCCTCAGGGACAAAGGGAGTACAAGTGGGCACTATTTCCAAGCATGTTCTGAAGCACTTACAAATTGAAACATGAGGCACCCAAAAACTCCCAACTGAGGAAAAGAAGAATGTCAACATCAAGATAAATATTATGCTTTCACATACTGCACTCACCCCACGCCTGAAGCATCTCTTTCAAGAGAGCTGTATTTAAGAACACACCTGGTATCCTTAGGTGGAACCTAAGTAAGCAGCTTAAAAGGATGAATTTTTAAGTAAAACATCTCACCTAATAACCATGAACAGCAGCTGATTTTTTCCAAGCTGTAGCCTCTTTTCTTAAATGCTATGTAAATTCAGTAGGGCACGTACATACCCACGTGACGGACAGGAACAGAAATGTGCTTTGATGTGTACATGTACTTAAGCACTTTGCAGAACTGGGACATGGAATGACAACAGCTTTCTGGAGTAACACTGAGTCAGATCGTACAGTCAGAATGGGAATCCCTTCCTTATGCTGTCAGTGTCAATCCAATCAGACCGCTCCGGTGAACAGAGCCTAGGAAGTCCTCCTGGACTATTCAATACACTTCCCAACTGCTATGGGAAAAATTATTACATAATCCACTTAAGGATGCATCTTGAAGCAGTTAATATGTTTTGTTCCCTTAGGAAAACTGTTCTAGAATCTTCTACCGTAACAATTAGGAGCTCTGATTACTACCAAACAATTCCACTCTGTGAAGATTGTCTGTTAGGTTTGATAGCTGCTGTTCAAGGTAACATGAGTGAAGAGACATCTCTCTGCCTTTATTGATTAAACAATTGTTTCTGCTTGCCCTGTGCTCTACAAAAGGTTGCTCTATTCCAAGCAGGTATGACAACATTTGCACAGAATGTGTCCGATGGAGTTTCTCAAGAGCTCTGTACAGTGACAATGGTACTGCCTTGCTTCTGAAGGTGGAAGAATGCAGTCCAACCTTTCCTGGCTGCCTCAGGCAAGTTAATGTAGTCTCCTCTCCTTCAATTAGTCCAAGTCTTTCTTCTCCCTCTCAGACTTCTTCCAGTTGCTCTCAGTGGCCAGCAGAAGAGTTTGTTAGTACTACTCCAGCAAGAGAGAATAGGAGAGGGTGTGTATTTTATATTCTTCTACCACAGTGCATCACCCTTAGTTAAGGTTTTATCTAGTCTCTAGACCCACATGAACCACATTCTTTCAGCTTCGCTTCTACCTTGCTTTTTCCTTCTTCATTGCCCATGATCCACCTTGCTATCTCCCCTCCCTCTTCACTACACCAAGCTCACTGAAGCCAGAGGCGAAGCATTCTTTCAGTTTTAGAATGGTACCAAAGTAATTCCTTAGCACCACCCAAACAGGACCCTGCCTTTTCTTTCTTTTCCATAGGACGTGAAAACAAGAGGATGTACAGAGTCACACGCAGTCCTTGCTACTGTCCCTGCTTCTTCTGCATATTCTAAATATCCCTCGTAAGAGTGGTTATTCATCCAGTGTTATGTGGAAATGTTTCTGACAGGCATTCTCCCCACTAGCACTACTTAGAGACTTTTTTTTTTCCATTGGTGGTTTTGGTTTTTTTCTTAATTTTAAGCAACTGAAAGTCTTTTAAGAAGATTTTTAAGTTGTGCACCATGCTACTTTGTATTCTGGATCACCTAATCAGTATTCAACAGTCACACTCCTGTTTGCTTTTGGAACTGACATAAATCTTGACTGCTCTCTTCCCTTTCAATCTCCTCTTAAATAACTTTTATTCTGAAATGAAGAAGTCTTAATGGCCTTTTTCTTCCACCTTCAGTTCTTCTTACATTTATGGTATATTTTGCCTTTGCCTGTATCTCCATGTCATTCTCTCTGATCCTGTTCTTCAATTCTTCCTCCATCTCTAACTGTGCTGCACCTCCCCTTACGGGAAATGACTCTTTGCGTTACATCCCTCCTTGAGGAGTGGGGTGCAGGGGATTTGTCTTTCAAGATCTGTTTAATCAACAAATGCCCACAATCCTTCAGTTCTACAGGCGCCTTCTCCTCCTAGTAAGCACTCACACTGAGAGCATCTTCCCCAGGAGCTCTGTTGGGGGCACTTCTTTTCTTCTTTGGTACCTGCTCAAGCACGAAGCTTGCTCACTTACTTGCACAAAGGAATGACTGCAGCATTTCAATCCAGTCACGAGCTACAGAGTAAAGTTCACCTGAGATTTCTGACCTCACAGTAAACATCAAGGTTACTGTTGTGTCGGGAATACAGCTCCAACATCGACTAATGAAGTTGTACTTTATAAAACCCTAGAAGTATTTAGTGAAGATGTCCAGGAAGGTTGTGATTAGACTGCAGATCACGAGGCAGCTAAGATAGGTAGCAATAATGTCCTAAAAAAATATGATCTTGCATCTGTGCAAGAAGCCTGAATACCTGTTGCACAGCTCTGACATTACATGCTGTACGTTACATACCATCCATAAGCTAATCCCTACTGGGAGCCAGCAATCAGAGCACTACTTAAAAGGCTAGGGGTCCTGACTCTGTGCTAAAAGAACATTTAACAGAACAAATACAGCCATTTACATTAAAAACAGTTGGCACAGAGATTGTGATATTCCAGGACCCAGTAGCTGAGCAAGTAAGAAGAGTGGCTGTAAGCCTAGTTACACTGCATAAGAAGGGAAAAGTCCTTATTTTAAAGGTTGCCTCCAGTTCTTGTCAAAAAAGGATAAAATCTGTAGAGTCTGGAATAGTAACTAATACTCCAGGTTTCTCTCTGCTACCTGAACATTTTCACTAACAGATTATAGTCCAGCGCCTCCTTCACACTGACATTTGTTCTGGCTCTTCAAGCTCTGTGCCACCCTTCGCTCATTATCATGGCTTACAGACTGAAGAGGCAACAGCTGCCCCCTCCTGTGCTGTAACATTTCAGTTCAGCCACGCACAAAGCTGTTAGACTGAACTGTCCTACCTTGTTTACAGAGGCTTCAAGTGCCTACAGCACCATGCCTGGGATGACCCTGCCTGATAAGAAAGACATGGGTCTGAATCACTCATGTGAAAGAGGTGCACTTTTTCAAGGACTTGAGTGCTCCCCAACTGCTGGCTTGCTGTCTAAATAGGCCCTAGGAGCACTCCTGCTACCTACCTCTAGAAAGCTTCTTAAACTGCAAGCAGGGATTCTGCATCTTGTATTCCAGGCATTATATGCAGAGCTAATGTGCCTAATTTGAGGCTTGAGATAATACTACAGAAGTAGGTGCTTAATCCTTCTTTGAATCTGGGCCAGAGTGTTCTGTATATCCAGCGACTGAAACAAGATAGGAGGCCGGTGAAGATGTCAGTGGATTGGCAGGCCTTTAGTGGTAAGAGGTCATGATGCAGATGACAGGGCTTTCTTGCTGACATAGGCAGAGATCAAACTGCTGGATTTAGACTTAAGTAAAATACACAGTAAACTTAAATGACAATACTTGGATGTAAAAATACCCCCTTATCTAAAGACTTATGCTGTGCAAGTCAGGAGTAATTTCAGCAATGCTGTCCTGTGAAGCTTAGAGGGGTCAGACAAATAGCATCTAAATGGCCACAGGGCAGTTATGAGATGTGGTTTTGCATTCTATAGAATGCAGCAGGAAAACATAACCCCATTGTCACATTTTTTCAAAAGGCAATATTAGAAAGACTAGGTATGTAGAAAGTAGATTACAGGCTGCTAATAGCTTAAAACCTACTCAATTGCACTTTGACATGAAATAACAGGCTATACATTTTACAGAAAACTTTTAATAGAGAGCCACATTCAAATCTTGACAAAGATGCAAGTTAACTTTCTCTCCTTACCAGCAGATACCAGGACAACCGCTGTAAACAAACTCATTTCCTCATCGCTAAGTTGCAGGGCATTTAATTTCTCACTAAATTCAAACATTGAGTTGAGCAGATCACCAGCTCCCATTGAATGCAAGTCATCCACACTGTACTTCTTTCCACTCAGGAAGGTGACTGTACGTTCCTTTGCATCAAACAAAGATGCAAATCGTACCATTAAAACCTGGTGAAAGAAAAAAAAAACACCAACAAAAACAGATAAATGCAAGTGCATTTCTGGAAAAGCCAAAGAAAAATACTAAACCTTTTAACATCATTCAAACTGTCTCATTAACTGCTCTACAAGCATTCTATACAGAAACTGTCAGCATGCTGTTGAGTTGTAAAACACAGTGCAAGCTCTGGCCCAGTAATCTAAGAGAAACAAACAAGTGGCAAAATTAGCGAGTGGATGCAGGGGAGGGGATACAGCACATGAAAGGGAGGAAAATTAAAATTTAAACCTCAGACAGTCTGAGCCACACAGACCATGTCATTCATAAATATGCCAGTAGGACAACTTGCTTAAGCTACTCAACAGCCAAAGGCATACAGAGCGTTAAAAGAAACATTTTTTTGGCCACACTTATGAGGAGCAAAATGAAGGTACCGAACCAGATTCTCACTTGGCACAAATTGGAGTAGCTATACAGAAATAATGCTGATTTTCACCACCTCATGATCAGGCCCCCTAGGCATTCTTTGGGAAAGTACCATGCCGCATCACTGTACCCACAGGAATGCTAATGAGCTCTGGTAGAAAGGAGCCACATGTGTGGCTTTCAGCTTTAGAAAGGCTAGGGAAGCACAGCTTGAGATGGCACCTGGTCTGTAGCAGCTGGGAATACCCCTTTGCTACATGCACCAGGGCTGGAGCAGCTGATGTGAGCTAAACTTACCCCTCTGGGCTGAAATTTCTCCTGTGGTTTGTCAGTCGTACTGTGAAAAGTTTCCCTCTGGAATAGCTTGTAAAGTTCCATTTGCTCATGTTCAACAACCTTATTTACATTTTCAAGATTTAAGTTACACAGAACAGTCTTCTTATTTGGAGAAAATGAACCAACTGGCATTGGTTAAAACTTCAGACTCACTGTAATCTCCTGGTGTGACAGCTGTCTCTTCTCACTTAACCTACATAACTGCATTAATTTAAATGTTTACTACAGGTGAGAGGAGAACCAGGGTTTCAAAGCCTAGTGTCTTTGACAAGCTTAAAAACAGGAATGTTCAAACCAAATGAAAATGTTTGAGAATTCAAATACCATTCATGCACATCCCATGACCTGCACCTAAATTTTAACAGCCAAATGGCATGCAGCAACCTTGATGGACACATGAGCACTATGCACTATTCACTTTTGTCAGCTAAGCTATATGTCCTGTGCTGACATTAACTACAGAGTGCAGAAACCTAGATGCAGAAGCCCTCAGAATACAACAAAGAAAGACAAAGGGCAGACAGACAAAGCTGAACTTGTGCATTAGCACAGACCCACCAGGTATTCAACAACCTTTCAGTTCAAAATGGTACTCTCCCTACAGAACTGGGCTTTAGAAACAAACTTTAATTAATGAACAGCCAGTATTAACACTAGTATTCAAAACTGAAGCTCATAAAGTTGTGTTGACTTATACTAAGGCAAAGAGCTCACCTATAGATTTCAATGTCACCATTCTAACCTAAGGAAGAATTGACTGTGGCATAGCACAGGATTGATTCATTCCGTTTCACTTCAAGCCAGACTCCTATTTGTGCATGCTTAGGATATACCTGATCAATCCTATCACTCAATCACAGCAACATAAGCACATAAAAACCTCCACACCTGAAGGTTGCTTGCTCACTTCCCTACCACCTGTAGTTAAATGACCAGGTTTGTGAGTCTGCCAAGAAGCTGAGTCACTACTCAAATGGATCTATTTGAGTAGTGACTTGCTAGCTCTACCATCAACTACATTTGGAGGGAAGGTGGGGGGGGGGCCCACTGAAAACCAGTCAAGTTCCTTATTTTACACTCACTGCTTTTTCTGAGCTGGCTGTCATAGAAGCCATGCAAATGCCAGCACAACACACTGAGCTCCCCAGTACTCCCAGTTCTAAAAACCTTTTTAGCTTACACGTGTGTGAATATATATAGCTATGCAGCTTCTGCACCAACATTGTCTCCATGTGTCTTCTTATCCTCAAATGAACAGCTCCTTGAATAAGGGCTGCTAAGAAACACAGTGCCAAGCCAACCACACCAGGCTTGGAGGCAGCACTTTTACTCAGGTTCTTCTATTAACATGCACACATTGGAACATCCCAGTTCAGTTACCCACAAAACAGAAATGACCTTGTATGCACCAGGCTTTCAAGATGCTTTTTGCCTCTATTGCAATGGATTCATTAATCCTGTTGTGGTTTTTTTTTTTCCCCACTGCTCTCCAGCATCACTTTTTTTGTTTTCTGTTGCTAAGAGGCCACATAGGCCTTTAACTACAAGTACCAGCTCACTAACAGAAATCATTAATGTTTCTTATAAATAAGTGAATAGTGACAAGCATGCAGCCATACATTATTATAAATTCCCCTGGATATAGAAACCTTCTTATCAGCACTGCTTGTAACTGGCAAAAAAAGCATAGGAATGAAGCCTGAGAAAAGCTCGAGGTGAAGAGAGGCCAAGACAAAACATTTTACTTGCAAAACAGAAAGATTTGGCTTCACTTTATAAGAACAGTTCAAGCCAAATTTTCCACCCTCCTTGAGGGTACTGGACAGCAGAGGAAGAAACTAACATTTTTCTGTAATGTGAACAGCCATGTAAGAGACTGTAGCTGAAGAAGTGAAAATACAGCCTCTATGCCGCAGGAGTTGTAGATGAATATTAAAAGGTCAAGAATACATACAACAGAAAAAAATACAGGACAGCAAAATGAAAGCAACAAAGAAACTGACACACTCCAGGCATCAAGTCTTCCAGTATAACTTGTACCTTCCAACCCAACAATTATCCGTCTTAGAACTGGGCCGTGTAAATGCCCAACACACTACACAAGAAATGTCTTCAGTTCGGGTAAAACCAAAATCCAGCACACCTCTTTGAAAGAATAAATCAAGTAAACAAGAGCAAAGACATCACTAACTCTACCCTCTCCAGGAAAGCACAGTAACATCAGCTCCTCTGGCCCTCTATATTCAAATTGCACATTTGAATTCAAATTTCACATTTGAATATTTATAAAATGTGTATGATCTCCAACAGACACAAGGGTCTGGAAGAACAACTAAAGCCTTAAGTAAAGGTCATCTTGTGAAGGTCACTAATTATAAAACAGCACCAAGCTCTGTGGTATCATTTCCAAATTAACACCACTAATGCACATATACGTCATGACCACAAGTGGATGAAATTAACCACAAGGACCTAGAGGGATTAGTCTAGAGTAAGTCAGGCTGCAGCTGGCACACAGCACCTCCAGAGCTGCAGCAGTACAGCTCGTTCCTACTGTTACTGCATTAGACATGGAAGCTTCAGACACCCCCAGCTGCCACCAAAGGCTAGTGGTGACTGGTCAGGATAGATACTCTGGCTTTGGCAGGAAGCAGAGCGGCACAAGGAAAGACACAGAGAGCGTTAAACATTTCTCAACAAAACTTGTAAGTCGACAGACAGCTTTCTAACCTATCCACCCTTCCGGATGCAGTACAGTTCTTCAGAGTAAGCAAAGGTAGCTATCAGTGTAACCACTGCTATACAAAACCAAAAAAACCCTAATTACCCATTTATTAATGTCCAGGGAAGAAGAATGGGTAGAAGGGCTGAGCAGTTTTGAGCTAGATGGAAGAGGGACAGTTCACCAAGATCTGACAAAACAGATCCCTTCGACACCACCTTAAGGAAAGCTCAGAGCTACCACTCATGAACATGCTGGTTTCACCTGATGTAACCCAGTTCTATTTGGTTTTGTTCTTACAGGGTCAGACCGATGCAGAGCTTGTCAGATTCACAATATACACACAGTGGTCTCACCTCAAAGGTCCCAGCTTTCAGAAGATTGACCTGGTCATGCTGGGAGAGATCTCGGAATCCTGGGATGCGCTTGGCAAACTCCACCACTTCCTTCACTGCAGGGGTAAAACTCAGGGAAAACTCTTCCCAGACTTCATGGCCAGATTTGTTTGGGTCCACATGGGGAGTCTTACTCATTGGGCAGACCTGATGTTTACAAAACATAGAAAACAACTTTTAAAGATATCACTCCAAATCCTGACAAATACTTGGAAGAAACAATTTTATTCTTCTACAAAACTTAGTGATAACGACATATAGAGAAAAAAAGATCAGTATTCCTCAGTCATCTCCCAAAGCAATGGGATTTCTCCCCCTTCCTTTAAAACAACCAACCAACAAAAAAAAAATCCATGGTGGATTGTCAGCAAGTTGTTCATAAATTTGCTGACTTTGGAAACTACAACAGTGTTTATTGCAAAAGATCTGACTGAACCCATGTTATGCGATTCGTCCCTGATCTCAACTGATGTCTGACAGCTGGATTTCTCTTATTTGTGTTATCCCTTTAATTTCACAGTTAATCACGATTTCAAAATCAATTGATTGCAATCTCACAGTCATGACTACATTCATTCTCCTATCTGTCTTGTTTTGCAGGCAACTGAAGTGCTTCAGTCAAGATGACAAAGGTGTCAACACTAGAGCAAGAAAGCGAGCCTTGGTTTCCTGAGTCACAGGTTTACACCCTCATTACAAGGATAACCTTCCTTTACAAGTTTTCTTTTACTTGTATCACAGAAGGAGGATGACCAAGCAACTGGTATTGCAATTTTTCTCAGCCACAGGATGAGAAAATGCTCTTTCTTTTATACAAATATACAGTAATTTTTTAGTAGGAAAGTCTGAATCCATTACAATGAGATCAGACATATCAGTCGAGGCTGACTGCCAATAAATTCCCTCTGCAAGACCCAACCGGAAGCTCTGAGATATTTTCAGTTCTGCTTTCTAAAATTCACATCTTTTAATGAAGTTTAAACCTTTTAATATTCATTTCACCTGTCACCATCAAGGATGAGAATTCCTTTTAAGTATTCCTCACAAGTATCCTAAATGGTGTATGTAATCCTACATAATGTCAGCAAAACAAAGAAAAAACTGTGAAATAGATTAGCAATTCCTCAGAGCTGTGCTGTTTTGGCAGGGCATCTTGAATATGGTAATTGCCTAGCAAATCTTTGTGTGGAAGGTTCTAAGACTACAAGAATATAATATTTTGGCAAAAGGAAAGGCCTAGGCATACAAACAGAAGGATGGTAGATGCTAATCACTGCTCTGCTTGTGATACTGCAGTGGTCCACATAGATATTGTTAAAAATACAGTACTCACTGAAAATAAGGAATCTCCTGCACCTCATTGGACACAAAAATCACCTTAACTTCTAATCCTACGATCGTTTAGCTTAACCCACAGGCACTCAGTCCCAAAGGGAAACTACCACTTCTCCACCCTGTGCATTGTGTTTACACTGTCTTGACAGACCTGTGCCCAAGAGTCACAGAGTATCTCAGGTTAGAAGAGACTCATAAAGACTGAGTCCAACACTCTGCTGCTTGCAGAACTACCTAAAACTAAGCCATATGATTAAGAGTGTTGCCAGGTGCTCCTTGAACTCTGACAGGCTTCCTATGGAAGCAGTTGTCAGATATACAGTCACCAGCTCTCTTTAGAAGAACATCTTCAGAAACGACAAGTTCTGCTTTTCTGCTTACAGGGGTATTGAGTAAAAAATATCAAACCCCTGAACATCTGTCTCCATACTGGTTCAGAGCCTAATTACATGCCCTTATTGCTACTGACTCATTTTGGTTGGATCCTGATCTCACTGAGTTCTGAGGCAAAACCCTTATTCATGTCAGAGATGTGGGACAGGGAGGGAGAGCTGCAGTGCTCTGTTGGATTCAGTTTTGTTTCCTCATCGTTGGCTGTGTAAAGCCTCCCTGCAGCTGCCATGCACAGGTCAAACTGACTGGTTGAGCCTCTGCAAGGCAGCACCACTCCCTGCCCGCCCATACTGATGGGTTTAACCTCTGCTTCTCAGGAGTGCCAAGAATGCCATCGTAGTGACACCACATACTTTCCCTGCAAGGAAGAAAGGCTGGCAATTATTATTATTTGCCATGGTGTAGTGCCCAGAGTCTGCAATTAAGGTCAGACCCTCCTAGGGATGGCAGAGTCTATATATGCAGTAGCCAAAAAGGGGAAAAAAAAAAACCACACACACAAAAAAAACCCCAACAGAAAAACCGTCATGAAAATACAGCAAAATCAACAAATAAACACTTTCACTGTGGAAACTTTCAGGGGTCTTCAAGAACCTGAGAAGGATCTTTATAAACTAGGGGGAAGAAAACCACCAGCAGCTCAAGTACTTCAGAAAGGTCAGGGTCTCGCGCTTCACAACAGGAGTGCAGGATGAGAACGAGGATGTTATGTTCTCTCATCCCAGGCGGTTGCAGTGATAAAGAGAAGGACAATCTATTTTAAGGGGCTTACAGAACTGGTTGCCTGAATAGCAGAGAAACAGCAGGTGCAAGGCAAATGAGAGGGATCTGTTAAGGAAAGACCAAAAAAAAAAAACCAAACAATCAAAAAACCCGACAACCATATGCAAAAAACCAGGGAACATCCTTGTTAAGAATTCAGTGAAAAAAATGCTCTAGTAAAGTCATCTAAGGTCCTCAAGAAAAGACCTACAGAAAAGACCCTGAACTTCTCTCAAGTGGTATAGCTGCACATCTTCCTCCTGCCTCTGTTCGTATCTGAAGATGTTCTAGGGTGAAAAGGATGCATAGCCTGTGCACCCCATTAAAACAAAACAAACAAAAAAACCCCAACATCAAAAAAACAGCCTACCCAGGAAGACAGACTTTAGAACACACTAGCTAAGCATGTATGCTGGCTTGAAATCCTCGCCCTGGGGTTTCACCCCAGAAATTTGCTCTGAACACATTTAATGAAAATACAGTACATCTGACTGTGTAGATTATTTTAAAGTCTTCAAAAGGATTGAGTGAACAGGGGCATTTATAAAGTGTTATTTTCTTTTCAAAGTCAATTCACTTTAAAAAAACCTGATTTTTTTTCAACCAATGCTCTCTGATGTTCACTTACTTTCAGTGAGCTAAAAAATGAGCCAAGAAATCCCATCACTTGTATGATTTCAAATTCTCCACACAACTTGAGCTACTACCTCCTTTGTGACAATGTGCACTATCAAGTTTATGTCAATATTTTAAATCTCAGAAGTTTTGTCAACTGTGTGGAGCTACATTGACTACTAAGACACAGCTGTACCACACCCACCACTAAGCCTTTCACTAAATCAAATCAAGCAATTAATATCAATATACCAGATGCATTCTTCCTCCAGTGCTACAGGAGTAAGTGGTATTCTTGTTTGGAGAAAAGCCATCTTCTGGGATCCTGTCACACATTCGCTGAGTATAACCGCTGGTGAAGTTCATGCAGTGGCCATTTGTGAAGCACATGGCATGCCCACTTGTATAATGCATCGTGCTTCTCCCTTTGTACTGTCCACCAAGGTGCTGCTCCCTTTCAGGGTACTGAGGGCCACTGAGGCCTCCAACACAGTGCTCACTGCTCAAGATGTATTGCTCGGTGTTCTTCGACACTCTCTCCCCACTCTGGGGCTGCATCATCTCTGCAGGGTTTTGGGACTGTTCCTGGTTGTACATGAAAGTGTCTTTGTGGGCTCTAGTGACCATCCCGATCACTTCTTCCTTAGCCATGTCAGCAGTAGGAGGGGGAGAAGGGCTTTTGATGGTATCCCGCTCTTGTTTGGGCTTGGAAGAAAGGTCTTCTTGAGGTGCTTGGTCTTGATGTTCTGTTAATGCTTCGTTGGGTAAATGGCCACTGAACTGACTGTTCATCATGGACTTCATGGCACTCTGCATTTCAATCAGCATCCTCTGTTTTTCACGTTTGGGAATACGGCCAAATCGAACAGCTACCAAGGTGGAGAAACAGAAAGTGGTGGGAAGGGAAAAAAAAAAAAATCAATCCTGAAAGTGTTGGCACACACACACACACAAAACACACACCCCAACCAAAAATCTTGCCTTTTAAGGAAAGGTTTTAACTGCTCTCACCAATACTACAGCAGGGATATTCCAGTGAAATCAAGGAGTTTCCAGTGCACAGGACTGGTGTGAGGTATGAAATGCATGCTATTGTTTGCATACAAACAGAAGGCAGCTCTAAAGCACAGAGTCTCTAAAGCCTTGTCCCCTTTTGCCTCAAACCTGGCTATGGAGCATACATGCAGTTGTGTTAATTGATGAAGTGTTGGGCTTTAAGTTTAAGATTGGATCTATTAAATCAGCACAACTTTGTGAGCTGACAATTAGCTGAATGTAAACACAGTCCATATCATATTTGAATAGAAGTCCTACAAGACAGGTCCTCAAGGACTAATTATATAACTTGTCAAAACAATAGAATCAATGCTGAACAAAGCTTACCTTGGCAAATTTCCTTGATAACTTTGCCTTGACAAGGACATTTTCTGCTGGCAAGGGGACGGGCATCATTGTGGCTGCAGCACTTTTGACCCTGTCCTAGGGAATCTATAACTGCCTCTACCACCCTGTCCAACCACAGCTGCACAAGGGCTTATAACCAGTTTCGACTGATGTAATTATGTTCATGCAGTAGTCCATCATTAATGTAACTAAGTCTCTTTCATTAAAGCAGGTGCAACCTTATGCGCAAATAAGTGCCTAGGGGATGAAATAACTCCTATGCACGACAAGAACTCAGAACAATTATTTAAAATAAGTTTTAACACTCCACCCACTAAATTATTAACAGCCCAAGATTCCTAGTTCTTGTGAAATAAACAGCCAGAGAAAATTAAAAAGTGAAACAGAAGGAAGAGTTCTGGTTTGTGTCAGTAAATTGTAGCAGACAAATGAACTACACTTTCAGCATTACATATTAAAAAGTCACAAGGAGTGGACAGCCAGCAAGGTGGTCAGAGACACAGCTCAACACTACTATTTCCTCCTTGTCTTTCCTCTTCCTCCAAGAAAAGAAAGAAAGAAAAAAAGAAAGAAAAAGAATGGAGCAGATACATGCTCATCCTATGCACCCAAACCTAACTCTTTAGGCTCTGTAGCAATTACTCTAAAGCTGTCAGTTTAGGCAGAATTCCCTTTCATTGAAAAAGTAACAGTAACAAAAGAAAAGAGGGAAAAAAAAAATATGAGTCTTGTTCAGCTTCACGCAGGATACACAAAATTGAGGCACTTGTTACAACCATCCCCCTAACAGACCACTGCAGCATATCCCACTGCATCAGCCTCCACAGGCAGGAGAACAGCTCTGCGGCTGTCCGCAGTATTACATTACCAGTCCAGGAGAGTCATGGAGCAAGAAGGCAAGCTGATCTAAATGTTCTCAGACAGTGAACCTGCTCTTGAGAACAGGGCTAGCTGCATTATCTGCCATTAAGACCTTCAGCAATCAGTTTTGAAGTGGGCAGCAGATTCCCTCTCAGAGGATCCCTGCTCAGTACAGGAACGTACCATCTCTTGACATCCCAACAGACAGGCATTTTTTGAAACGACACTGCTGGCATCTGTTCCTATTCATTCTCATTATAGAGCAGTTGTTATTCTTCAAGCACTTCTTATACTGGATGTTTTGCTGAATGCTTCTTCTGAAAAAACCCTGTAAACAAACAAACAAAAAAGCCCCACAACTATCATTACAGCACATGTCAAATTCTTCTGCCAAGATTCACTTCTCTGCAAGCACAGAAAACCTCACTGTCTCTCATCAGCTGCTTCAGAGCCATCAGCCCCAAGTGATTTTAAAGAACTTGATACTCCTCAAGACTTACTTCCCCTTTGTGTGTGATCTGTATATAATGCTAACTAGTTATGATTTCTAATTACAGAAAATGCTAAGTTGTTCCCCGCATAGTCAGCACCGAGTATCTCCAGTATTACCTCTAAGACTATAATAACAGTTTGTAAGATGCTCTCAAATGCCTCTGACATCAAGTACAAATATGGGAGTCAAAAATCAGATCTTTTGACACCAATCTCTGCAGTTTGGCAACAAAACCATCCTGCTGCACCATATGACCTTCAAAGGTGGTTCTTTCGCACAACGCTTAAGCTGATAAACTCCTTCAAAGCACATAACATTTGCAGTGTTACAGATTCAGAAAAATACACATTTAGTGATGCATGAACATGGAAGCACCCAGTTCCGGCTTTCCCTGTGGTAAAGAATTGCTTTTCCAAAGCTATTTTGTTCTGTGCCACAGCCCAGGTGACAACCCACACCCACTATCTCTTAATGCAATTAACATGCACATGTCTTGCGTGACATGGTCCTTACCACCTCTGCCTCCAGTTCTTGTTCTCTGCCATGCGCTCCAGGTCAGGCAGGATTGGAAAAGGGGTGAGAACAGAAAGTACTGCAGAGGTTGGAAAATACTGTGTATTGGAAAATACTGTGTATTGCTAAGTGGTTTGCCTTTTCCCTACAACTTCTGAAATTTCTCATATTTAACAGATAAATACACAGACTTTTTTTGGCAGTATCACCCCTTTTACCCAATGGGGAGAACTTGAGCATTTCAGCAGCAGAAAGGTGAGCAGAAATATAGCTCACCTTGCAGCCCTCACAGGCATGAACACCATAATGAAATCCTGAAGCGACATCTCCACAGACTTTGCAAAGAAGAACCATGCCATTAAATTCTAGAATCAGAACAAAAAAGTCAAGGATATAGAAAACCAATGACAACTGCAGAAACATGTTTCCACCTTTTAAAACCTGGACTTAAATCAAAACACATCAGGTCAGCTCAACATATGAAAAAGTACAGCAGAAGAACAGACACCAAGAATGTACCAAACCGAACAGTTCAGAAGGTACTAGGGCAAAGGAGGGGGGAAAAGACAAACATGAAGCACTCAACAGAATAGGTAGAAAGCACATATTCAATGGGCTTTCAATCACAGTAGCACTGCACTCAACTGTAGAAAAAGAAAGTCTGCTTACATTTAAGCACTTTTAAAAGGACCATTCAGTTAACTAGGCCACTAAAGTTCAGGCTCAATCTGTTTTTTCCATCAGGACAAGTAAGCCTATAAAAGGCTAGAGTTTCCCCAACAGAGAATAAACATCTTTTCTTAAAAACCAGAAATATTAAAGGACACTTTATTATATATTAAAAACAAGCCATACACTCTACCTACTTGATAACAATTTAGGACTAGTAACTCAGCCACATCTACATATGTAAAGACCACTCATTTGAATGCATATCCAGAATGGCATGCTTCCACACTTGAACTCAAAAATACCTTCTCAGTCCTGTAAATATGCTCATGGTTTGACTTTTTTAAGTTTTCCCCCACCTTTTTTATTTCAGTTTGTCAATAAAGATTTTATTGCAAGTCCTAAGTCCTGGTCTAACACTGGTTTCACCAAAGCCAATAGGAATTTTACTAGTGACTTCAGTAACCACAAAGTTACCTTAACACAAGAGAAAACTGGAAATACTCCCACTACTCTACCAGAAAAGTAACTTATTTGACATTTGAGTTTCATTTGTAAAGAAGAACTAAAACATTAAGGTTTTCAAAAAGAACTAAAGCAAAATTTTTATTTTTTTTTTTAACACAACTAGTACTGAGCTAGAAGTGTTATCTATCTGTCTATCCATTTGAACAGTTTACCAGAGGTTTCATCTCAGGAACTTCTGCCCTGATACCAAGAAACCCAGTTACTAGGGAATTTTTAAGAAGAAGTAAAGGTTCTTGATGAACTTAGGGTAGGAACACCTTAAAAAAAAAAAAACAAACCTTTTAAGGTAGAACTGCTATATACTTATTCTAGCTTTGTATCAATCCAAAAGAATAAAACAATTCTGCCAATAAAAGAATTGAGCCTCCAAAAGACTAAATTCCAGACGAGTGTTTGCTGAATCACTCATTCCAGTGCTCAGTTTGATTTCTACCCTTCCAAAACTGTACAAATATACTTCTCTACCGTTGATCTTCTCCAATTACCAAAAAAAGTGTGAAGCGAATAGGTGAAGTTAGATTGTTAAATGTATTTTAAAAGGTTATCCTTTAGTTCCAGTTTACAAGTATTTTGTTTTTTACATCCACAAATTAAGACTTGGAATCAAAAAGATAACTGTTCCAACTGCAGCTATGTAAATATTACGTTCGGGTAATTTATTTATTTTGTTCCTCAAAACTGGGGGGGGCGGAAAGGTGAAGAGGCAAGGGAGAGCATATGAAAAAACAGATAAACCAGATTTCCAAGACCGCTCCATAAATACTCTTGATGGCAATTTCTGATTACTATTACCTTTGTTTCATTACTTCCTTTTAATTGCTTGATTTTACTAAGATCAGTCCTCACGAAAATTTGAAGTAAAGCCGGATTGTATTTATGGACTGTCTGAAGTCAGCAGCAATGGGACCTCCATCTTATTAGCATTTGTATGGCAACACCAGTTGTATTACCACACACATAATGCCAAAAGATAAAAATGGAGGCTTTGCTATGTGCCTTCACCACAAGCCACACGGAAGACCTTGTTGTAACATATGAGGTTGTAATACATAAGGGGGAAATGGTGTTTTAAGGAACCAGCACCAAACATACTTGTGACTCCATTATGGCCTTTTGTCAAACCAGCAACACTGGACTGGTTTGTTTTAACAGTCTCCTCCAGCCGATCGTTCTTCGGTGCCCCATCAGAGCCTTCGCTGCTCCGGCCATTGCATCCGCTTTCTGAGGAGGAGCTGTTCGGAGAAGATGGTACAGGCGAAGAGGATGACTGGAAACCGCTGTCTGAGCTCTCACTGTGACATGAGGCTGGGCTAGATGCCGAGCTCGAAGAGCTGATGTAAGCTATCACACCCCCTAAGGCAAGAAAAAAAAGGCGGCACGTAGTGACATAACCAGCAGACATGCACCGCTGCCATGTGAGCCATGCCGTGACCCAGCACCACCAGATCAGCCATTACGTGCTCCTGGGAGCACTCCTCTCCCTTCCTCCCTCCCTCCCTCAAGTCTGTTTGTCTCCATTCGTTTTCAATGGCTGACCTCCCAGTCTGCCCCATTCCCTTCTCCCGTCTTATCAGCCTTCTGTGATCCAAGCCAAGATGAAATGGCAGAACCAACAGATGGAGCAACAAGCCACGGTGCTGTAAGGATGGGGCAGCAGGGAGAGAGCACGGGATTGCCCAGGGAAGGCTTCCCTGGGCACCCTCTAAGCAGAGCTCATCTGGAGCCACAGCAAAGACAGGATCTTAGAGCGCCGTGGAGCCAGAATGCAAACAAGCTAGGTTAGCAACAGAAATAGGGCAGAGAGAAAGCCTTCATGCAGGCTATGCGCCAGAGGCACAGAAAGGAAGGGCTGGGAGGTGCTCATGATGCAGAAGGGAAGGGGGCAAGGGAAAGAAACAGCACTGCAGCCTGGTTAGCCTACTGAACGCCATTTGTCCGATTGCAAGCCTTTGTAGTGTTTCTAACAGCAGCTGAACTCCAACTGCTAGGCTGCTATTGCAAACAGTCTCTGTCCTGCCATGTCTTGCAATCTGACGTACTTGAGAATCCCTCAGATGAAACAGCTTTTTGTCCTCAGGCAGACCTGGGAGCAGTTCTGGCCTTTCACAGGCTCCTTCTTGCTTGTAAGCAAGAGACATTGTTTGCGCTTCATTTGAGTTTGTCTCCAAGACTCAGCATTTCAAAAGTCAATATAAAATCATTTGATATTTCACACAAAAATTTCAACAGCCATAGCCATGCAACCGTTTAAATAAATTAGACTCGGTATCTTCTATGTTTTATGCCTCTATTGCTCTGTAGAGTCTCTTCACAGACAACCCATGACATTGCAGCAAGGAACTCCACATGCCAGTAAGAACTAAAAACTTAAAAAGGGTCAGGCACTGCTTTCCTTTAGAGATAAAAAGCATTGGTGTCTGTGGAGTCCTCAATCAACTGAATTGGCATTACAGGTTGGGGTTGTAGCCCCTTACATCAGCCATCACTTCCACACATAAAGGCAGTGGTGTTATACAACCCTGGACACATCACTGCTTGCAGGGAGAAATTCTGACTTACAAATTTTAAATACTTCTATCAGCTGTAATGATCCTCTTAGCATCTCTGTAGCAACTTTTCCTCTTTAACATTTAACTTTTTTTCTACCAAGGAAACCCTTGGTGAAAAGGTTCCCTACAGAGCATGCAGCCCAGGAGCTCCTGGAAGAGCTGCCTCACAGCAGAAGTCAGACTAAGGGGCCGTGTGACACGTGCACTACACAGACTACTGCTCACGTTTCCAGACACTGGTGCCCCTACACCCTGCCACAGCCGCTGTTCTCGCACAGATTTTTTAAGAAATCCTCCACACGGCATAGCACGCATTCCGGATCAGGTTTTCGGAGAAAGGAGGATTGGCAATGGAGTCACGGGTTCAGGAACAGCATGAGAAATGAGACATCCTCAGACACCCCTGCTAGGCTAAGACACCACCTGTTTGACAAAGGTCTGTGCCATCCCCCGGTGCTGCACGCGCCTCTGCCAGGTGCCAGGTCAAAGCTCACAGTCCACCTGGTCCATGGGAGGCACCCGGTTTCTCAGCAGGCGCCATCCTTATCTGCAAGGGGCAGACCAGGACACGCAAGCACAGCACAGCTCCTGCAGGGAACTCCATATTTCTCCACACTGCCACCGCGCCCCGTTATCTTTAAACCCTACTCATAAAAGAGATTCTCTTTTTCCTCAGGGGTAACACCAATGTCATACGGAAGCACAGAATGAGTGTGTCTATAGTTTCACCCCTCTCCTTCTGAAAGCCGGAGGAGCCCCAGATAGCTGGGCTGCTCCTGCGCCCTAGAGAGCCCGGCAGTCTTGCCTGCGTCACAGTCTAGGTTCCCCGTATTTTTATTTCAGAAGCTGCACTTCCCTATGAACTCTGGTTTTGTTTGGTCAGCAGTCAAAAGTTGAATCTCTCACACAGCGCAGGGTGACATCTCAGAACAAAGAGCACAGACACAGTGACCTCTGTGCGTGCCCGTACACGTGCACACGCACGCCGCTGCTCTGCAGAACGGGGATACCGGGGTGTTCGGCGGGGAAGGCAGCGTGGGGACTGGGAATTGCCCGGGCTTTGCCTCGAGAACCCGATGGAGGGCGGTGAAAGGAGTCCTTGGGGCTACGTGGGGCCGCGCTGCTAACGTCGCTGCGGAGGCACCTTCGGCTGAGTGACGAGGACCCTTCGGGCTCTACCTGGCGGGATTTACTTGGGAAGGGAGGCGGGGGCACCGCGCCGTGCCGGCATTT